GTGTTGTACTGTGCATCAATGTTAATTCAAGCTGTGATAGGCAGTTGCCGTTTGTGGATGTTGGAAGCATTGAGCTACCAGTTGTTTCGGGGTCGTCAACTGTGACTGTGGGTTTCGAAGTAACCATTCAGCCCACATCTCTCTCTGCATGTAACCTCTTTGGCCAGGGTTACTCGAGTAGTAGCATTCCAACAGAGTCCCTGTTATCGCATCTCGTACCACTCTTCGCCTTGTTCCAGTAGCCCATCTTTTCATCAAGGTGCTCTGGTTCCCCAGCACCTGACGCAGACCTTGTTTGGACCGGGCGACGGCTGATCCGGCATCTCATTGCGTATTTGTACCTTCATGGTTATGAGTTAGGCAGTAGCATTAAGGGTCTTGCCCAAGGACCCTCACTGGATGTTGGTGTTAATGTGCTGTTAATATATATATATATATATATATATATAGCTGGATAGCTCAGTTGGTAGGGCACAGGACTGGGACCTGATTTGGCTTATATATATATATATATATATATATATATATATATATATATAATATATAATATATACACCATATATTATATATTACCTAATCATATGCTAAATTAAAGTAGAGTGCTTTAAGCCTGGCCTTGAATGTGGAGACCGTATCTGCTTCCTTAACATAAATGGGAAGCTGATTCCACAGTAAAGGAGCTTGGAGCTAAATGCTCTGCCGCCAACAGTGATTTTTGAGACCTTAGGAACCACCAGACGTCTGCCGTTTTGTGAGCGCAACGCTCGACTTGGTTGATATGACACTAACGTGTCTTGGAGATAGGAAGGAGCCAAGCCATTTATGGCTTTATGTGTTAAGAGAAGGATTTTAAACTTTATTCTGTACTCCACAGGGAGCCAGTGGAGTGATTTTAACACCGGAGTTATGTGCTCCCTCCTTTTGGTACCTGTTAAGATCCTAGCTGCTGTATTCTAAACGAGCTGGAATAGATAGCAATAAGAATAATAAATAAAGGTTTATGGAATATCTTAAATAGAAAAAATTAGAAATAAACCGAGTAAGAATAACATTAATTATCCAAAATAATTTCAAAGAAGAGGATCTCACTATAAATAATAAGAATGAAGTAGTCGATACATTTAATAAATTCTTTGTAGATGTTGGACCGAATCTTGCTGCAAAAATTGCAAATGTTGAGAAACTATAATTTAGTGAACTGATAGACACAAATCCTCTTTGCATGTTCCACCAACCGAGGAGGAAAAGGAGATACCTGGACATTTGTAAAAGGTGTAAAATAAAACCTCGACAGATTACCATGACATGGATATGAAAACTTTAAAAACTGTTATTGAAAGAATCTCTAAAGCCGTTAACATACAATCTGTAACCGCTGTAAAAAAAAAACAAAAAAAAAAAAAAAAAAAAAAAAAAAAAAACAAACTGACAATTCCTGAAAAAAAGTATGAAGTAGCTAAAGTGATTCCTCTGTTCAAGGCAGGAGATAAACACATCTCAAAAATACAGGCCTGTTTCCCTTTTACCGCAATTCTCTCAAAAATCTTAGAGAAGGTTTTATAACTCTAGACTTGACACTTTATTGAATGATGTAATTTACTCTTGGACACTCAGTTTGGTTTTAGGAATAATCACTCAACCTCACAGTGCTCTTTGATAATAATTGAAGAAATAAACTAATGCTGTAGATAACAAGAAATATGCAAATAGGGTTATTTCAGATTCAGATTCTTTATTTTAGCCATTTGCAGTAAAACCACATAGGAAAAACTGTGCAAGAATACCCCATGTGGCACCAGACGACACACACCAGAGCTCTTGCCACGGCGCCATCTTAGAACGCTTTATAGACCTGAGTAAAGCTATTGACACAAATAACTAAGATATACTAAATTAATAAACTAGAACATTATGGATAGGGGGGGTAACCACAGTGGGTTACCAGTTAATTAAAAATAGAAACAATGGTGAAAAATAGTGATTATCAGTCGAGTTGTCGACAAATGTGTGTGGTTTTACCTCAGGATACAAATTTATTGCTAAAATTTACAAATTGAGAATTAGGTAGGGCAATATGAATCTGTTGAGAGGGACCCTCCAACGGGATCCAAAATCTGTCCTTTTTATGCACCACTCAGTCATAGGAACATCATCTACAAAAACACTGTTAGGGCAGCTGGGTGGGGTTTTTGTTGAGGGGAGAGTTACTGCCCTCTTCACTGGCCCGTTCTACACCTGGCTTTTTAATGCGACCACACTATGCAGGGCTTACATCATACTCACATATAGTCAATTAAACAAATATAATAATAATGAAATTAAACCCAAATTAAATTATATTAAGGAAATGAATGAACAACTGGTAAGTAGCAAGATCACAGAGTATAATATGTATTATTGCACCTTTATAACATAAAAGTAGAATATTCATTGTTCTTATTTAGCGTGTTTTAATTTTGTTCTGGTTCATCATTTATAGTTACTTTGCCCTATGTTCCTTTGTTATGATTTGCTACCTTGTAAATATTAAATTGTAATGTTATTATTTTTATTGGGGTGGCGCTTATAAGCCCTTTGCTTCAGCCCCACACCCTTTGAGCAGGTTTAACTGCTCAAACAAATAAAAATAAATAAATAATAAATTATAATATTAAATGTATTTTTGAATAATATTTTTAAAAAATATAATAAAAAATGATTCTTAAACAAGTTTTCTTTTGACGAGAAACTAGTATAAGAAAAGAAATACAACAAGATTAAATTATCAGAAGCAAGTAAACTAATTTTTTTTGAAGAAATCCAAGACTATTTTAAATCAATTTTAATCACCTTTCATAAATTATGCAATTTCAGAACCATTGGATGAACAAAGAAAAAACATTTGGTGAATGTGAATGTAGATGTGTACTTTATTATCCCTTATAGGAAATTCATCTCTGCATTTGACCGTCCCTTGTTGCCACTAAGGCCATACGTCAGGACAGTGTCGCTTCAGAACAGCACCCGGGACCCCTCTCCAATGTTGATTGCAGGGCATGGTCCAGGCCAACCAGAGCTGGATTGATTTTTAACCCAATTGAGCATATTTTTAGTGGTAGGGAAACCGGAGCAACCGGAGGAAACCTAAGCAAGACACTGGGAACATGAAAACTCGACTCAAAGCATGCCCTGTTCAACCAGGATCGAACCCGACCTTTCTTGCTGAGAAGTGAGATTGCTAACCACTCCGCAACCCAAATAGAATAAATATAAAATGTTTGTACACACAACCACCTTTGGTCTCTTTCAGTCATACGTGAAATGCGTTCAAAATATTCAAAACATCACAGGCATTAGATATGGAATCGAAAAGAACCAATATTGCGATGACAATATTTTGTTGATAATTGTGAAGCACTTGTTGCATCTCGTAATCTGTACTCAATTCCCTCCTGCTTATTGTCAATTCCCCATGTGTATGCTGGTCTCTACTCACCATGGGTCACGCATCCTTATAACTGAGTCTTTGAAATCAAATTAGACATACTTCGTATTGGGAAAGTGAGGTGGTTCTATGATTTGATGTGTTTGGTGTTTTCCTCCATTTAGAATCAATCATTTCAAACCAAGATGGCTCTAACATAAAAACTTCACTTCTTCAATTATTTGAGGAAGAAAACTGTAAGTGCAGCATTTCTATTGCATCCACTCAACACCATTCTGCCAATTAAACTCATACATGAGCCTCTCTAGCTTGGACTTCCACTGAGCCTGGCTCTAATGTCAAGAAGGTAAACTTGAGCAGAAAGAGCTGGAACTACCTTGACAGTGACAGAGAGGAGGTATTACAATGAAAGTTAAATGTTCAACATGGATCTAGCCGTTGCTTATTTGTCCATCTTGTGTCCGTTTCTCCTGATGGAAACCGCTTGGTTGATGGCAGTTCAGTCCAAACTGGAATTTTGTTTGTTTAGCTATAATGCATTTGTCGCTTGGTTAATTACACTTCTCACTTTGTCAAGGTGTGATGAAGATAGCAAGTTGAAAACATATTTATATATTTGGTGAACTTCCTTTTACCACACCTATAAATATTAGCTGTATTTTTTTTATATTATATATAAATACAATGTTCCTGAATTTCATTGAAAGTTTCTGCTAAGAAAAATGTCCTCAGTCCTGGGTCTACAGCCTCAGTCCTGGATCTGCAGCCTCAGTCCTGGATCTGGGGTCTACAGCGTCAGTCCTGGATCTGCAGCCTCAGTCCTGGGTCTACAGCCTCAGTCCTGGGTCTACAGCCTCAGTCCTGGATTTACAGCCTCAGTCCTGGGTCTACAGCCTCAGTCCTGGGTCTACAGCCTTAGTCCTGGATCTGCAGCCTCAGTCCTGGATCTGCAGCCTCAGTCCTGGATCCACAGCCTCAGTCCTGGATCTACAGCCTCAGTCCTGGATCTACAGCCTCAGTCCTGGGTCTACAGCCTCAGTCCTGGATCTACAGCCTCAGTCCTGGATCCACAGCCTCAGTCCTGGATCTACAGCCTGTCTGTCCGTTGGAGTGGATCCCTCTCTAGATCCTCCCAGAGGTTTCTCGCCTTTTATTTGCAATCTCACTCCGGGCCGGTGGGGTGTACCCGGAAAGAGAATTACCCAATGCAATTACCCTATGGCTTCGTCTTTCCTCTCAAAAACGTCTTTACAGGATGGTCCAAAAGTCGCTCTTGGTCCAAAGCTATGTTCCAGATGCTGTCAATGCAGTTTTTCTTTTTTCTTTGGACCAGTCTAGTTTAGTTGCTGTGGACTTTTGAATGCACTCAATAAATGAATGGGGCGAGAGCAGCTAACACATGTAAAAATACATCTTTGCACATTTTCCTGTGGGAGGGGCTGCCCGCGGCCATTTTGAAAACGCCCATGTCTGCGGCACATACATTTAAACGGAGAAAATAGGCGTCACTTCGTCTGTTATTATTTACAGCCCATGATTTCCTGTCTCTTTAAGGACACTACATGCGCCCGGAGTCTTACCGGTCGAGTGCGATGCAGCAGAGGTGGAGGATGGAGGCGGTGGTCAGGAGCACGTCCAGAGAGGTCCGGACCAGGCAGAAGGTCTCTCCGTAGATCCAGTGCTGATGGACCAGCTCGATGGCTCCGAACGGCATCACCAACACCGACACCAGCAGGTCCGCGAACGCCAGCGACACGATGAAGTAGTTGGTCTTGATTTTCCTGCAGGAGAAACCAGGATAAAAACAGGATCAAACCAACGGGGACGCTGGGGGACACACGTCTTCACCCTGAGCTCTCATTCTGCTGTCACCGGAGACAAGTGTCGCTGACGTGCTCGCCGATACCGGTTATACGACGTCTCTGGATTTTTTTTTCAACATAATTGTGGTCCTCCTTGGTTCCGTTCTCAAACTTGTCAGTGGAAGGAACGATAAAAGTTACTCCTGTGAGATCACGTGGGCAACAAAAACATTGTTTTTGTCACATAACAATGTATTTCAAGATGGCGCATGGACATGGAGCGTCTTCCAGCCTCATGGACATTTATACCAATTCTAAGTCTATAACAACAATTACAGATTATGGTGGAGGTGGATAACGATGACTATGAAAGATCCTCCACTTTGAGATGAATAAAGTAATATCAGATTATCTTATCTGACTTGTGATTGGTTAACATGTTTTTTTTCATTTGGAGCAACTGTAAAAATGACTGAGTGCGCTGCAAAAAATGATAAAATATGAGGTCATAAAAGCGTGAATCGAGTGGTTTTTATCTTAATCTGATACATTTAGTCATTTAGTCTGATTTCAAGAACTGTTGCTGTAGTTTCTCGTTTCCAAGGGAGACATTTCTTGTATGGATCATTTTGTTTTGTCCAATTGGGGAATCTTGTTTTTTTTTGCAGTGTGTACCTTTAAGTGCAGTATAATAAGTCAAAGATAGACACATGCCTTTTCTGCAATAATTATAATAATGCATTGGTTTAGTACAGAGCTTAGACCTAAAAGCCTCTACACATGATTCTTCTTTCTCTCCAAACACAGCAGTGATGAACTACTACTATAGCCACAGCTGCCCTGGGGCACACTGACAGAAGCCCCTACACCACCACCAACCATTCACACTCACAGCAGACTCATGCCCAAGGACACAACGAAAGCAGACATCAGTGGGAGTCAGGGGATGGTCTCTCTCTGGTCTCTCTCTGGTCTCTCTCTGGTCTCTCTCTGGTCTCTCTCTGGTCTCTCTCTGGTCTCTCTCTCTGGTCTCTCTCTCTGGTCTCTCTCTCTGGTCTCTCTCTGTCTCTCTCTGGTCTCTCTCTCTGGTCTCTCTCTGGTCTCTCTCTGGTCTCTCTCTGGTCTCTCTCTGGTCTCTCTCTGGTCTCTCTCTCTCTCTGGTCTCTCTCTGGTCTCTCTCTGGTCTCTCTCTGTCTCTCTCTGGTCTCTCTCTGGTCTCTCTCTGGTCTCTCTCTGGTCTCTCTCTGGTCTCTCTCTGGTCTCTCTCTGGTCTCTCTCTCTGGTCTCTCTCTGGTCTCTCTCTGGTCTCTCTCTCTGGTCTCTCTCTGGTCTCTCTCTGGTCTCTCTCTCTGGTCTCTCTCTCTGGTCTCTCTCTGGTCTCTCTCTGGTCTCTCTCTGGTCTCTCTCTGGTCTCTCTCTGGTCTCTCTCTCTGGTCTCTCTCTGGTCTCTCTCTTCTGGTCTCTCTCTGGTCTCTCTCTGGTCTCTCTCTGGCTCCTCTGGTCTCCTCTGGTCTCTCTCTGGTCTCTCTCTGGTCTCTCTCTGGTCTCTCTCTGGTCTCTCTCTGGTCTCTCTCTGGTCTCTCTCTGGTCTCTCTCTCTGGTCTCTCTCTGGTCTCTCTCTGGTCTCTCTCTGGCTCTCTCTGGTCTCTCTCTGGTCTCTCTCTGGTCTCTCTCTGGTCTCTCTCTGGTCTCTCTCTGGTCTCTCTCTGGCTCTCTCTGGTCTCTCTCTGGTCTCTCTCTGGTCTCTCTCTCTGGTCTCTCTCTGGTCTCTCTCTCTGGTCTCTCTCTGGTCTCTCTCTGGTCTCTCTCTGGTCTCTCTCTGGTCTCTCTCTGGTCTCTCTCTGGTCTCTCTCTGGTCTCTCTCTCTGGTCTCTCTCTGGCTCTCTCTGGCTCTCTCTGGTCTCTCTCTGGTCTCTCTCTGGTCTCTCTCTGGCTCTCTCTCTCTCTGGTCTCTCTCTGGTCTCTCTCTGGTCTCTCTCTGGTCTCTCTCTGGTCTCTCTCTGGTCTCTCTCTCTGGTCTCTCTCTGGTCTCTCTCTGGTCTCTCTCTGGTCTCTCTCTGGTCTCTCTCTGGTCTCTCTCTGGTCTCTCTCTGGTCTCTCTCTGGTCCTCTCTCTGGTCTCTCTCTGGTCTCTCTCTGGTCTCTCTCTCTGGTCTCTCTCTGGTCTCTCTCTGGTCTCTCTCTGGTCTCTCTCTGGTCTCTCTCTGGTCTCTCTCTGGTCTCTCTCTGGTCTCTCTCTGGTCTCTCTCTGGTCTCTCTCTGGTCTCTCTCTGGTCTCTCTCTGGTCTCTCTCTGGTCTCTCTCTGGTCTCTCTCTGGTCTCTCTCTGGTCTCTCTCTGGTCTCTCTCTGGTCTCTCTCTGGTCTCTCTCTGGTCTCTCTCTGGTCTCTCTCTCTGGTCTCTCTCTGGTCTCTCTCTGGTCTCTCTCTCTGGTCTCTCTCTGGTCTCTCTCTGGTCTCTCTCTGGTCTCTCTCTCTCTCTGGCCTCTCTCTGGTCTCTCTCTGGTCTCTCTCTGGTCTCTCTCTGGTCTCTCTCTGCCTCTCTCTGGTCTCTCTCTCTGGTCTCTCTCTCTGGTCTCTCTCTCTGGTCTCTCTCTGGTCTCTCTCTGGCTCTCTCTGGTCTCTCTCTCTGGCCTCTCTCTGGTCTCTCTCTCTGGTCTCTCTCTCTGGTCTCTCTCTGGTCTCTCTCTCTGGTCTCTCTCTCTGGTCTCTCTCTCTGGTCTCTCTCTGGCCTCTCTCTGGCCTCTCTCTGGTCTCTCTCTCTGGTCTCTCTCTCTGGTCTCTCTCTGGCCTCTCTCTGGCCTCTCTCTGGTCTCTCTCTCTGGTCTCTCTCTGGCCTCTCTCTGGTCTCTCTCTGGTCTCTCTCTGGCCTCTCTCTGGCCTCTCTCTGGCCTCTCTCTGGTCTCTCTCTGGTCTCTCTCTTGTCTCTGATTCCTGGTCTCTCCTCAGGCTCCCATGGCTCTCTTCTACCCGAGCACCTTTGGGATCGTGGGACAGAAGATGACATTCCTGCAGCACCGTTCCCACGGCGACGCTGAGGACCCATATGACGAGCAGTACCTGCTGACCACTCAGAGCAAGCAAGAGCAGGTAAGGCCCGCCCCCTTTACCTGTTGACCAACCCCAAGACTACACCAGAACCAGACCCGGACAGAGACTTGTGTTCTGGTGTTTCCTATTTGTATCCTGTAAATATTAGCTGTACATTGCTCCGGCCTCTCTCTGGTCTCTCTCCGGTCTCTCTCTGGTCTCTCTCCGGTCTCTCTCTGGTCTCTCTCTGGTCTCTCTCTGGTCTCTCTCTGGTCTCTCTCTTTGGTCCATTCTCTGGGATCTCCCTGGTCTTGCTTCCTGGTCTCGCTCTCTGCTCCCTCTATGGTCTCCTTGGTTTTACTCTGATGTCTCTCGCTATTGGTCTATCTCTCTGGTCTCTCTCTTCTGTCTTTCTCTGGTCTCTATCTAGTCTCTCTCCCTGGTCTCTCTCTCTCTCTAGTCTCTCTCCCTGGTCTCTCTCTCTCTCTAGTCTCTCTCTGTTCTCTCTGGTTCCTTTTCCTTTTGCTATATAACTAAACCTGACCGTCTCAGTCCTCCAGATGGTCCGCAGACCGCAGAGGGGCCTCTCGACCCGGGACCGAGGCAGACCTGAGCACTCCTCCTGCCGACCTGTGTGACCCCCTCAGAGGCTCAGGGGCCCAGGCCGAGCTGCTGGAGACCCCCACCCCAGGAGAGGCCGCAGGGGGGGCCGAGGTGGACCAGCCCCTGTCCCACCACCTGTCCCGCAAGAACGCCGTCCTCAGCCAGTTCGAGAGCAAGGCTCTGGGTCTGGACAAGGCCATCCTGCACAGCATCGACTGCTGCGGTGAGAGCAGGGGCTATACCAGGTGGACTATGTGATATCTGGTCTCTCTCTAGTATCTGGTCTCAGTTTCTGGTGTCAGTATTTGGTCTCTCTCTAGTCTCTCTATTCCTTTTTTTTGTCTCTTTCTGGCCTCACTCAGGTCTCTTTGGTCCCTCACTAGTCTCTCTCTGGTCCCTCTCTGGTCTCTCTCTGGTCTCTCTCTTTGGTCCCTCACTAGTCTCTCTCTGGTCCCTCTCTGGTCCCTCTCTGGTCTCTCTCTGGTCTCTCTCTCTCTGGTCTCTCTCTAGTCTCTCTCTGGTCCCTCTCTGGTCTCTCTCTGGTCTCTCTCTCTAGTCTCTCTCTGGTCTCTCTCTGGTCTCTCTCTCTGGTCTCTCTGGTCTCTCTCTGGTCTCTCTTTCTGGTCTCTCTCTGGTCTCTCTCTCTGGTCTCTCTCTGGTCTCTCTGGTCTCTCTCTGGTCTCTCTCTCTGGTCTCTCTCTGGTCTCTCTCTGGTCTCTCTCTGGTCTCTCTCTCTGGTCTCACTCTGGTCTCTCTCTGGTCTCTCTCTGCCCTACATGTTAAACCGTGACTCTCAGGGCCCTGTCATAGTCTTGTGTGTGAGTGAAGTTGCGTACCCGAGCTTTACACCTGGTGTGTGTGTCTCAGCCTCAGACGAGACCAAGCGTAAGATGTACAGCTCCATCCTGGTGGTGGGAGGAGGCCTCATGTTCCGCGGAGCTCAGGAGTTTCTGCTGCACCGCGTCATCAACAAGATGCCCCCGTCCTTCAGACGCCTGCTGGACTCTGTGGAGGTCATCACCAGGCCCAAGGTATAGCCTTAAAGGGGAGGTCATCACCAGGCCCAAGGTATAGCCTTAAAGGGGAGGTCATCACCAGGCCCAAGGTACAGCCTTAAAGGGGAGGTCATCACCAGGCCCAAGGTATAGCCTTAAAGGGGAGGTCATCAGGCCAAACTCACCAGGCCCAAGGTACAGCCTTAAAGGGGAGGTCATCACCAGGCCCAAGGTACAGCCTTAAAGGGGAGGTCATCACCAGGCCCAAGGTACAGCCTTAAAGGGGAGGTCATCACCAGGCCCAAGGTACAGCCTTAAAGGGGAGGTCATCACCAGGCCCAAGGTACAGCCTTAAAGGGGAGGTCATCACCAGGCCCAAGGTACAGCCTTAAAGGGGAGGTCATCACCAGGCCCAAGGTACAGCCTTAAAGGGGAGGTCATCACCAGGCCCAAGGTATAGCCTTAAAGGGGAGGTCATCACCAGGCCCAAGGTACAGCCTTAAAGGGGAGGTCATCACCAGGCCCAAGGTACAGCCTTAAAGGGGAGGTCATCACCAGGCCCAAGGTACAGCCTTAAAGGGGAGGTCATCACCAGGCCCAAGGTACAGCCTTAAAGGGGAGGTCATCACCAGGCCCAAGGTACAGCCTTAAAGGGGAGGTCATCACCAGGCCCAAGGTACCGCCTTAACCCTCTATGCACATGGGTCATTTTGGGGAACTTTCCTCGCCTGGTTTTCTTTGTGTATAATTGTTCATAAAACAGTCATCTTTTGATGCAGAGTCAAGCAGTATACTTTGTTTTTTTCAGTACAACCTGGGGTTTTAGAATATTCATATTGTAAAGCTGCCATATGAATTATATAAAAATTATGGAATCATGAAGACAAAGAAAAAAATCAAACGGAAAATCAATTTAACAAAAATGTATTGAAAAAACACAATGAAATGCTATAAACAACTTTTTACACTGCACAGAAATGTTATTTAGAGACTTGGGGATAATGGGGAAAAAAATTGAATCTCTAACTATTATCCTTTTTACAAAATTCCACTATAAAAGCAAAAAATTCTGTACTCCTGATGCCCTTCCTGAAGCAGTTTGTCTATAATGCTGGGGTTGCTTCTGTAGTACAGCTGTAAAAAACGTAAAACATAAGAAACTGAGACAAAAAATAAAAAAAACATCAATTATTTATATAATACATATATTTATATACATCATATACACATAATGTCATTTTCATCCATCCATCCATCCATTTTCTTCCCCTTAATCCATTTCTGGGTCAGGGGTGGCAGTCAGAGCTGCACCCAGTCACAGAGCACCAGCCCCTCACTGATCCTCCTGCAGGTGCTGAGTCCACAGGAGCTGAGATCTTTCAGTGGGGGCTTTGGGCAAAGTGGGGTTAAGTGTCTTGCCCAAGGACACAACGACAGCAGTCATCAGTGGGAGTCGTGAAGTAGGTCTTACGGTGGGCTTGAACCCACAACCTTCAGGCTCAAAGGCCAATGCTCTACCAACTGAGCTACTGTCGCTAATCAATCAATCAATCAATCAACGTTTATTTATAGAGCGCCTTTCCTACACAAGGCAACGCAAAGCGCCTCACAACCCATATAACATCATGCATAAATCATCAAACATTAGAATTTAAGTAAACATAAAAAGACAGATTAAGAGCACAAGATATATAAAATCACACAAGTAGTTAAAAACCGTAAAAAATTAAAATCACACAAGGGATTACAATCATAAATAATCATAAATAATCATAGCGCATTAAAAAGATTAAAGATAAAAACAAATGTAAAATCATTCACTTGTATGCACAGCTAAAAAGAACTGTTTTCAGTTCAGTTTTAAAAACTGCTAGAGTAGACGCCTGTCTCACACTCTCGGGAAGACGGTTCCAGACTCTAGCTGCATGAATCTGAAACGCAGCCTCCCCATGTCTAGTTCCGACTCTTGGCACTAACAGAAGTCCAGTCCCTGTGCTCCTCAGAGCCCGAGTTGGTTCATATGGCACCAACATGTCGCGGATGTACCCTGGTGCGAGGCCATGGAGAGACTTGTACACAAGTAAAGCTACTTTAAAATCTATTCTCTGAGCCACAGGAAGCCAGTGCAGAGACCTGAGGACCGGACTAATGTGGTCGTACTTCCTGGTTCTAGTCAGGACTCGAGCTGCAGCATTTTGGATGTACTGCAGCTGTTTTACCGCTTGTTTAGAGAGACCTGTGAACAAGCCATTGCAGTAGTCCAATCGACTGGAGACAAATGCGTGGATAAGAATCTCCAAGTCTGCTTTAGACACAATGTTTTTAATTTTGTCATTTTACTGTATTTATTATCGTCTTTATCAATAATGCGCACTCTTCAGCCGGTTATTGCAATCGCAGCTGTAGTTTCAACTGTGGGAGAACAAGTAAACGCAGAGGAGTGAGACATCTCACTCTGACGATCTTTGGCAGTCCCCGTGTGTTTGTATCTCACAGCTGTTTGTACCTCACGGGTCACGCTTTGGACACAGACTTTCAGACAAACGTAGTTTATCCTACGTGCATCGCACAGACAAATCAAAACTAGTTTCGGAAAGCCCTGAATACGTACTTAAGTACTTAAGTTGCTACGTTTTACCGTTCGCGAGTAAATTGATCATTTGTAAAACATGTGTGCATGCATCGGCGCCGATGCAGACGGGTTCATAGGGTTAAAGGGGAGGTCATCACCAGGCCCAAGGTACAGCCTTAAAGGGGAGGTCATCACCAGGCCCAAGGTACAGCCTTAAAGGGGAGGTCATCACCAGGCCCAAGGTACAGCCTTAAAGGGGAGGTCATCACCAGGCCCAAGGTACAGCCTTAAAGGGGAGGTCATCACCAGAACCAAGGTACAGCCTTAAAGGGGAGGTCATCACCAGGCCCAAGGTACCGCCTTAAAGGGGAGGTCCTCACCAGGCCCAGGCTACAGCCTTAAAGGGGAGGTCATCATCAGGCCTAAGGTACATGTTAAAGGAGAAGTATGACCTGACCAAGATTTCTATGATCTTCACTCTCTGATCTATCTGGTCTCATATGGTCTCTCCCTCTGGTCTCTCTCTGGTCTCTCTCTGGTCTCTCTGGTCTCTCTGGTCTCCCTCTGGTCTCTCTCTGGTCTCTCTCTGGTCCCCCTCTGGTCTCCCTCTGGTCTCTCTCTGGTCTCTCTCTGGTCTCTCTCTGGTCTCTCTCTGGTCCCCCTCTGGTCTCCCTCTGGTCTCTCTCTGGTCTCTCTCTGGTCTCTCTCTGGTCTCTCTCTGGTCCCCCTCTGGTCTCCCTCTGGTCTCTCTCTGGTCTCTCTCTGGTCTCTCTCTGGTCTCTCTCTGATCTCCCTCTGGTCTCACTCCTCCACCTCCCTCTGCAGGACTTGGACCCTCGGGTGGTGTCGTGGAAGGGTGGTGCGGTGCTGGCCTGTCTGGACACGACTCAGGAGCTGTGGATCCTTCAGGACGAGTGGAGACGCTTCGGGGTCCGGATGCTGCGCGAGAGAGGGGCCTTCGTCTGGTGAGGCTGATGCGGATCTGCAGCGACGGAGCCGCGAAGACTCAAGACCGTTTTTTCTGTAACCTGGTGTCCTGGTCTCTCTCTGGTCTCCCTCTGGTCTCTCTCTGGTCTTCCTCTGGTCTCTCTCTGGTCTTCCTCTGGTCTCTCTCTGGTCTCTCTCTGGTCTCTCTCTGGTCTCTCTCTGGTCTCTCTCTGATCTCTCTCTCTCTGGTCTCTCTCTCTCTCTAGTCTCTCTCTCTCTCTCTCTCTCTCTCTGGTATCTTTCTGGTCTCTCTCTGGTCTCTCTCTCTCTGGTATCTTTCTGGTCTCTCTCTGGTCTCTCTCTCTCTCTATTCTCTCTCTCTCTCTCTATGGTCTCTCTCTCTCTCTAGTCTCTCTCTCTCTCTCTCTCTCTCTCTGGTATCTTTCTGGTCTCTCTCTGGTCTCTCTCTCTCTGGTATCCTTTATATCAGTAGTGTGACATCACACACCAGCTGTGATCCTTCTGTGACGAAGGTTGTAAATATGTACAATAATAAACCGTTGTTTTACATGTTTTTCTGTCTCATTTTTAACCCGTTATAACTGTAACTACTGAAGCGAGAGAGACCAGAGGGAGACCAGCGAGAGAGACCAGCGAGAGAGACCAGCGAGAGAGACCAGCGAGAGAGACCAGAGAGAGACCAGAGAGAGACCAGAGAGAGACCAGAGAGAGACCAGAGAGAGACCAGAGAGAGACCAGAGAGAGACCAGAGAGAGACCAGAGAGAGACCAGAGAGAGACCAGAGAGAGACCAGAGAGAGACCAGAGAGAGACCAGAGAGAGACCAGAGAGAGACCAGAGGGAGGCCAGAGAGAGAGAGAGAGACCAGAGAGAGAGAGAGAGACCAGAGAGAGAGAGAGACCAGAGAGAGAGAGAGACCAGAGAGAGAGAAGAGACCAGAGAGGGACCAGAGAGAGACCAGAGAGAGACCAGAGAGAGACCAGAGAGAGGCCAGAGAGAGGCCAGAGAGAGACCAGAGAGAGACCAGAGGGAGGCCAGAGAGAGACCAGAGAGAGGCCAGAGAGAGACCAGAGAGAGAGACCAGAGAGAGACCAGAGAGAGAGACCAGAGAGAGAGCCAGAGAGAGAGAGAGACCAGAGAGGGACCAGAGAGAGACCAGAGAGAGACCAGAGAGAGGCCAGAGAGAGACCAGAGAGAGAGACCAGAGAGAGACCAGAGAGGGACCAGAGAGGGACCAGAGAGAGACCAGAGAGAGAGACCAGAGAGAGACCAGAGAGGGACCAGAGAGGGACCAGAGAGGGACCAGAGAGAGACCAGAGAGAGGCCAGAGAGAGACCAGAGAGAGACCAGAGAGAGAGACCAGAGAGAGACCAGAGAGAGAGACCAGAGAGAGACCAGAGAGAGAGACCAGAGAGAGAGATATGGTGGCGCAGTGGATTGCACTTGTGTTTCACAGCGAGAAGGTCCTAGGTGTAAATCCGGGTCAGAACAGGGCCTTTCTCTGTGAAGTTTGCATGTTATCTTTGAAAAACTAGTCACATTTCAACAACATCATCTCTTTAATACATTTACAAAAATGTGAATGCTGGTTCAACTACAGTTATCTGGACATAGGCACACAGACAAATTA